AGCAATTCCACTAAAACTTCACAAATATATCTGATCTATAATCGGACACACAACTGCCAAGTTTCATGAATCTGCCTTTATTATTTTTCCAAATATTTAAAATTAGCTTCTGGAGTTGTATGGCAGGTACCCGAACCTGTCAAGCAATTCTTCTAAAACTTCAGAAATATATTTGACCTATAATTGGACACATGACTACCAAGTTTCACGAATCTGACTTTATTATTTTGCCAAATATAAAAAATTTGCTGTTGGAGTTGTATGGCAGCCACCCGAACCGGTGCAGCTATCCCATTGTAATTTTTATAGCATGTGTAGAATATAATTGGACACATGTATACAAAATTTTATATTTATAGCTTTATTAGTTTTCGAAATATTTAAAATAAACTCTTTGAGTTGTATGGCAGCTACCCGAACCCGTTGTCCGAATTAGTCCAATAACAATAGGGTTCGTCCTTGGCACAAAAGAAAAAACTTGTGAAAGTTTGGTGTCAATAGCATTATTCGTTTTTGAGTTATCGTGCGATCGGACGGACGGACGGACGGACGGACGGACGGACGGACGGACGGACGGACGGACGGACGGACGGACGGACATGTCTAAATCGACGCAGAATTTTACGCTGAGCAAGAATATATATATATGTCCATACCGCAGATGACTCCTTCAAGTAGTTACAAACTCCATACCAAAGTTAATATACCCTTCACGAAGTGCAGGGTATAAAAAGACTGTAACAATAAAATATAATTTTTTTTTCGATACATTAAGGACTAAGCTATAAATTTTTAAGTATATATGCAAGTATAAACAAATATACAACATAATGTAAGCTACGTGTAGATATTCCTAATTTATATATATATATATATATATATATATATATATGTATATATATACGAAATTCAAATAGAAGGAGAAAAAAACAGTTGCACTGCAATCCACTGTAACTTTTTTTTTATATTAAAGAAATAAGTAGTAAAAAATTATTTTATAATAAAAATTTACGTGCAAGTATATATATTATAATAATGTATATTTACATACAAACATATTATTTTATATATTGAAAGTGTTGAATATTGAAATTTTTATTGAATATATTGAATAATTTTGAATTGTAAAGTGGATATTGAATTTATGTATTGAATATTGTTGAACTTGTTGTTATAAGTGTTTTAATATATATATGTATATATATATTTAAATATATATATATATATATATATATATATATATATATATATATATCTGCGTATAGGAGAGCTGTATAGGAGCAGTACCTGTTACAAACAAAAAAACAAAAATAAATTTTTAACAATTCGATGTTATACGAAGTTTATTACCCTATATACTAACATTTTACCCTATATAAATACATAAATATAGTATAAAAATTTGAAATAGTATAGCTATATATATATACATATATATAAATATTAAAATTATTTTCTTAACGAAACTATAATGAATTCGAAATTAAAATCAGAAATTTGGTATTTATTTCGAAATTTCGATTCAAAATTTAATTAGTATTAAATTTTAAATCAAAAGTTTTCGGAATAAATTTTCATGGCTTTTGGTTTAATTTATGAAAATAATTGAGGCTGTATTAGAAAGTTTTGGATAAATTATAAATTTAATTCAAAAATTCAAATTTAAAAAAAAATAAGAACTTAATTGTAATCAACCGGAGCAAATGATTTAATTTGGTTGATCCTATAGGTATGCAATTTTTTTTTTAAATTGCGTTTATTACACAGTTAGAGTATAAAATAATATTATACATATGTATGAAGCTAGTTATGCTTACAATTTTAATTCATTCATACAAAAATTAAAGTAAAAGCTAGAGCTTTAAAATTATATATAAAATTAAGGAATTTCAAATTTATTTATTAATTAGAGTTTCAATAGAACAATTAATAAAACAAGCACAATAAACATCTGATAAATTTTATGATTTGTATAAAAGAGTAATTTAAAATTAATTTTTTAAAATAAGTTCAACTATCTACAGGGAAATAATAATATAGTTAATAAAATAAATTTTTCCAAAGAAAATTAAACAATCGAAAGGAAATGAACACCGCTGTAAGTACCATTATTATTTCTGTTTATATATGTATATGTATAACTGTTGATACATTTTATGAAAAATATTGTATGAAAAATATTGTATGAAAAGTCAAAAATTATATTCTTTTTATAGTTGTATGAAAATATCCGATTTTATGTATTAATATTAGAAATGAACGCATCTATATAGCTAGTTTAATTTTAAATATGTATTGATAACTAGACTATTGTATATATATATATATGAATTTTATTCATACTTGATTGAGTGTACTTTGTTATTGTATGAATGTATTTTTTGCTGTAGAAATACAATAAATTGTTGAATTATTCGCTATACCAATTTAATATTATATTCTATATAAATAAAATTATAAAAAAAAAATACCAAGAAATTTTCAATATACAAAATTTTTTTCATTTTTTGTACAAAAATTATAATTATGAGACGTCAGAACTTTGATTAGATTTTGTTTTTATTTTTTTGCTATAACTTAAATCTATTAAATATGCATAGTATATAAGTAAGTATATAAAGGATAAATAAGTTTATATGTATGAGCAAGTATAAATATATTTGTATATAAAGTTTGCCAAAAAATTTACAATCAACAAGTAAATTTGAATTGAAAATGATATTAAATTTTATATTCGTATTTTATAACAGTTTAAATCTGTATAAAGTTTATCTCTATATAATGTTATGTTAACATTTCTATTATAAAAGATATTTGTAATGCATTTAAATTTTAAACAATGTTAAAAATATTAAATTTTGAATAATTAAATTGCGTGTTTTTCTGGTAGGCTTTTTTCAATATTTTTTTTTTTTTACTCATATACAACATATTTATTTTCTATTGAGCACAACAAAATGTACTTTTAGAGATTTATTGGATTGTGAGCTTGGAAATTGTATAAAAACTGCGTATACTTTATTTTGGCTTGTAATATTACACATAATATAGGAATGTGATGGTTTTTAGAAGAAACAAAGTAGATTTGTAAAAGAAAAAGTAGATTTACTAAATAAAAAAGAAAAAAAATTTATTAGCATAATAAAGATATTTTTAATAAGTTAAGCTAGAGTTTAGCTCTTTTGTTATAAAAAATTGTTTGAGTAAATCGACATTGTATATATTAAAGAATATAATTTTAAGAAGATTAACAAGTTCCGCACTACTCCGATATTGTATTTTTCGGAATATTTGCCTATTCGATTTACTCTGTATGACTCTAAAATTCGTTTGTCCATTCATAGAGTTCGCGATTTCGTATAGAAATAAATTTTAGTGGGAACCCTCTTTAATGTAAAATTTCTCAAAAATTTATTTCCGACTTCTGTTCGATTATTCAAAAAGTTTTCCTAAATTTATGCAAATTTATATAACTAAAAAATTATTTTAAATAAATTGATCGTTTTCATCAGTAAGACCTAAAGCTATAAGTCTAAACTTTAATATTGTAAAGGGTGATGTATACTATTTTATTTATTTATTTATTTATTTAATTCATTGCAGGCATATTGAGTTCTGTTAGGGATAAGGGATCAATTGTGGCCTGCAATTCACAATAGATTTGAAAATTTACAGATTGGGGCACAATAAATTTTCAAAAGTTTGTTTAGCACGAAACGTTTGTTTTTTCTTCAGTAATTAATTTCATCCTTAAGTCATAACCATAAAGGATCTTTTTCTTTCTAATGTTTATTGATTGTCTTTACCTTTAATTTCTCTGCCAAGTATATTTTTAATGGGTGCAAATTTCTTACTTTTATTGACTGCAACGCATACTATAAGGGAGGTTATGTGATGGCACCAAATGTCGGATGTCGTGTTTTCGGTGGGAACGCATAAAATATTTTTAAAAAGATGTCACTTTATCGGTCTTTCTTTCTATCTGTCTGCCCGCCTGTGTACGCGTATATCTCAAGTTCAAATTTTGATCTCCGAGCTGAACCGATGAGTTTATTTCGGCTACGTCAAGGATTAGTCAAATTTTGATCTGATCAAAAAGTGATTTTACATTTTTGTACATATAAAGAGAATTAATCAAGCGATTTTCTTAAAATTTAGTATTTAAATTTGACATCTTAAATAAATGATAACATAAATTTTTTTGAACCATAGCTAAAGAATTAATTGATAGAATTTTTTGAAATTTAATATTTGAATTCGAGTTGTTTTGGAAATAAAACCACCGGGTTTTTCAAAGAACTTGGATGGCACAAAACAAAATTCTACTAAATGCCAAATTTACATTTTTCGAGGAAAGTTAGCTAAAATCATTCTTACTTTCTTAAAATTGGAAAGAAGTGTTTAAAAGGTACTTATTGGGGCCGGTTATGGCCTGACCACCGTCAGATTTTTGTTTCTTATATAACTAAAGATTTTATATATTTGGAAACTAAAATTCTTATATGTATATAAAAATTATAAGTATTTTTTTGGCGCGTTTATTGTATTTAAAAAAAATAAAAAAAAAAAATTAAAAAACAAAATATTCAAACTTAAAATTTAAAAATGGAATAACAATTTTTGTCTTTTGGTATTTTTTCATTTTTTTTTTTTTGGTTTTTTTTTATTATTTTTAAATAAAAGTATACCATGTGGTGTGTTGTGTGTAATTTATGATAAAATTTCACAAATATTTTTTTTTATGTACAATATTCAATTTATCTTTTTGTTTATCCTATTTAATTTTATTATAGCTATTTTATCCTTTTTTTATTTTTATTTTTTTTTTTTAATATAATAACATAAAATTCACATTGCTACAATTCCATTTTTTTTTTTAATTTTTTTTTGGTTTTGTTTGATTTTTAATTATTATTATTTTATTTTTTTTTTTCTTGTAACTTTTTATTTATCAATATTTTTATTAGTTTTAGATTTAAAAACAAGGAAAAGAAAAACTTAAAATGTCTTATAATTTCTTTTTTTTTCTTGTAAATCGTTGATTGAAGTTTTCATTATTATTATACATTCATATAATGTGTATATAGTTGTGTACATATATGTATATATATATACATATGTGTAAATTATAATAACGTTTTCATATTATTTTAAATAATTTGTGTATATAGAAGTGTTCATATTATTTTTTTTTTGCTTTATGCGTTAAAATGATAATGATTATCGTTTTTGTTTGTTCTTTTTTTCTTCTTCTTTTTCATCTTCATCTTCATCTTCTTCTCTTTGTTTAATATAATTTTACTATATAATTTATTATGATTATTTATTTTCATTATTGTTATTTTTTTTCTATACTTTATTCTTAATACTTATTACAATTATTTAATAATTATTATTTTTATTTCCTTGTTTAATTTATGATTTCTTTATATATGTATATATATATACATAATATATATGTATATATTTTTGCAAAAAATTTGTATTATATTTGTGTTTATTTAATTTTTTTTTTTTAATTTTGATAAATAATTAATTTATCATTAAAATAAAAATTATATATGAAAATTATAAATTGTATATAATATGTATAGAATATGAGAATTTGAAATATATATAAATTAATTTAATTTAAAATAAAATTATAAATATTATTGTATTGTATGTATGTGTATTTATTTATAAAAATAAATTGAAATAATTAAAAATAATTAAAAATATTCAAAAAAAAAAAATATTTTTTTATTCACGTATAAATACAAATTCATTGTAATGATTCCATCTATTCTCTTCAGAATCAACACCTGGTTTTAATTCAGCAGCTGAACCAGCTGTACCAGAACCACAACTACCAGATAATTTAAAACCGCAATCATTTAACATATCAAATGCTTGTTCAATAAAACAATGTTTCAAAAAAAATCTTGATGTATATCTATCTGGTCCACCATGATCTGGATCACGTGATTCATTTAATGTATCACCAAATACTTCACGACATAATGCAACACGTCCACATACCAATATACGTGATAATTTACGAAATTTAACATCAGCTAAACCATCTTTACCAAATTGAAAACTTCCACGATAACCAATTGTTATACAACCAGTTGGACGTATTTCAGATAATTCTTTCATACTTTCTATCATTCCAATTAATTGAAAATGTTCAGCTTCCATACGTAAACGAACTTTTTCACGAAAACCTTCTGGTAAATTTAATTGTTTATCACGTAAATAATCCAATATATAACGAAATAAAACACCATCACGATCCAAAAAATATCTTCCTTTACTATCTTTAATACCTTTTTTTTTAATATCAGTAAAATATTCATTTAATAATGAATTTTTATCACTTGTTAATGTTTTTAAAGTTGTAGTGTAATGAACCCCACCAACATTTAATTCAATTATATCGTTTGTATCTGCCATTTTTTATATTTTTTTTTTTTTATTTTTCTTATTTTCTTTGTTATATTTTTATAATTTTCGTTTCTTTTTTCCTGTTATAAATTATTGAGATAAAAAAAAAATTTTTTTTTCTTCTTGATTTTTTTCACTCTTTTTTTTTTTTTTTCAAAAAAAAATTTTTTTTAACACTTTCTCTTTTTTTTTTCTAATTTTATAAGAAAATTCTTTTGAATTTTTTCATTTAAAATGAAATTCAAATGAAAATTTAATTTTTTATATTAATTTTATTTTTTTTTTTAGTAAAATTTAAAATAAAAAAACAAAATAATGAAGAAAAATTTTTCTTTTCACAAAAAAAAAAAAATTTTTTTTTTTTCTGTATATTTTTTTTTTATCTTCTTCTTATCTCTTTTTTAATATCAATTTTTTTTTTTTATTCTATTGAATTTTCATGCCAGGTTTTATTGTGCGTCAGATAAGTTTAATTTTTCAGAAAACACTATATACTCCTTTTATAAGAGCAAACTGATATACCGTTTCAATCACCGAGTAACCAAGAAGAAAACAAGAAAAAAAAACAAAAACAATTTTATATATATAAAAAAATTTTTTTTTGTTCCATTACATGGAGTGCAATATATCATCCTTTTTTTCTTGTTGTGCTTTTGCTGATTCTTTTACTTCTTCTACATCTCTTTTTCTTCTTTAGTACTTCTTGTTTTTTGCTCTTTAACGTGTTGTTATTGTTGCTGTTGTTGTTGTTGTTGTTGTTGCTGCTGCTACTGCTGATATTTTACATTCTTCTTCTCTTCAATATATCCGCGAATTTCTTTTATTATATTTTATTTTTGTTTTCGTTGTTTTGCTGTTGTTTTTTGCCAAACTATTGTTGTTGTTATTGGTATATTGTGTGTATTTGTTTATAATGTTTGTGTATATGATTTTCTAAAATTTATTATTGGAACGCAGAATCCTTTATTCAGAGATCACAGGAAAGGTGCAAAAATGTTAAAAATGTTTTTTTCTTTTTGTTGTTTTTTTTTTTTTGAGAGATGTTTATTTCAACATCAACACTCGTATGAATAATATTTTTTATTTTATTCTTATTATTTTTCTCTTGTATATTTATTTTATTTCATAAAATAATCATTAGTGTACTTTTTTATTATATTTTTATTTTTATGTTATTGTTGTTGTTGTTGTTATAATTATTATAAAATTTTTTTCACTTTTCTGATTTTTCGTTTATTTTTTTTTTTATTTTTTATTTGTATAGTTTTACAAGCATTTTTATATATATATATATAGAGTGAGTGTATACAAGGTATATAAAGGAGAGAGAAATTTATAAAATTATATTTCTCTTGTAAATAATATTGTTATCCTTATCAACAACAAATCATATTAATTATTTCATTTTCATCTATTCTTTTTCTATTATGTTAGAAATTTTTTTGTTGTTTATTTTTTTTTTGAATATAGAATATGTTTTTTGATTATGCTTATGCTTCTTTCTGTAATGTAATGGTTCTACTGTCATTTTGCTTCCTATTTTCAATTCTATATATACATATATAATTTTAAATTTGTCGTTTCTAAATTATATTTTTCGGTTTTTATATTCGATATTATTACATGTATATAAAAGGAGTACCATATTTTAAACGCAGAATCCTTACTAAAATTACTCTAAAATTTTATTATACTCGTATGTACATATATATTATATTTTATATTATAAGTGTGGAATGTATATTAAATTTATGTATATACAAGCTCACGTGATAAATATGTATAATTGTATGTGTTTGTCTGTCGTGTGTACATTTTATGATAAGATAAGGAGCATGTAGAGTTTATTAAATTTTATACTATAAAAAATGAGTAAAAACAAAACAAGAAAACCAAAAAATTAAAAAAAAAGGAAAACAAAGACAAAAAGACAAAATATATACCATAAAAACAAAAAAATTTTTTGGTACTCTCATTTTCGATGTTTATACATAACAAAAACAAAAAGAGAAAAGTAAAAAAAGAATTAGAGATGAAAAAATAATAAATAAAACAAAAACAACACGCAAGTAGGAGAAGAGAAGAAGAGAATGTGTAAAACGTATGTACACATGAATGTGTATAAAAAATTTTTGAAAAACGAAAGCAACAACAATAACAAAAAAAAAAACAAAATAAAGCTAATTTCTCCCCCCCCCCAATACTTTATTTTGTTTTCGTTCCTTTTTTATTTTCTCTATCCCGTTCCTTATATATATGTACATATGTATGATAAAAATCTGTGGTTGCGCAAAATGTAGCTTTACCCTAAAATCAATACGCATAAAAACATACACATAATATGAGTAAAATAATATACCTGAAAATTATAAAGGAAATGAAATAAGGGAATAAAATAAAATTAATAAAACATAGAAAAGAAAAGATAGAAAATGAAAAACAAAAAAAAAATCGCATAATAATGTTCGCTAATTTGATAAGGATTTTTGTAAGGAATTTTTATATTGTACGAAAGCGTGAGGAAAAATATTGCATATAGTTAGGCGAGAGAATAATATTATCAACTTTTAAGGAGAAAAAAAAACTGTTGTCAAAAATTTTGTTTCAATTTTCTCATTTCTCTCTTTTCAAAAAAGAAAAAAAAAAAAAAAAAATTTTAAAAATCAAGAAAAATATTCTTAATTTTTTTTTTAATTAATTCTTTTGCAAGGATGAGAATATTAGAATTTTTACATGATTTTCGGAATTTTATTGTAACATTTATAAATTTATTATATTAAAATTGTATTAGTATTGAATACGTTATTGTATTATGCTTAAGTTTAATAATATTAATAATATAAGCTAACAATATTAAATGACGAGCCCTTTTAATAAAATTTCCCTTTTTTGATTTGCAATTTATACAGAAAAAGTTTATTGATACTTAATTATTGCTATGAAAACAAAAATTTAAGGTAGAGATTGTTACTATCAAATATTAATAATATTTTGTCCATATTATAACCATAAAGATATTTAAGATCGTTATTAATCTATTGCAAATTTATAAATAACTTTGTTGCAGTCCTATAGGCAAATTTTTAATAATTCATAATGTAGGCCTACAGGGTATAGGGTATAGTTTAATATTATGCATATATAGAGGTAGTTTTTTATGGTAGATATATTTTATTTAACAAATGTACAATTTCATATACTTTATTTGAATTAGCCTAATATTTTTTATAAAAGTCTTTTACAAACAGAGTATGTACTTATTTTTGTTTAAATTAAAAGGAAATAAATTTTTTGCTACACGGGCAAACTTACTAAATAACAAATTTTTTATAAACATTAAAAGGAATTTCTAACTAGCCATAAGTTTAAGTATAATTTTAATTTTTTAATTTTTCTTATTCTAAAACTTTTCAATTAATAATCAAATTATAATAAATTCATGTTTTACTCATAGTATGTGTAAGTATTGCATGTTAAAATAAAATTTTTGCAAAAATTTTAAATTTTTTTATAATGAATGATTTATAAATTTATTACGAAATTTCTTTTAAGTATTTTTCGAACAAAATTCATATTTACATATTGAGAGAGTTTATTTGAAATTTTAATGAATCATTGGAAAAATATAAATAACTAGATGGCGTAACTTGTCTCGTTTTATATTGTATAACAAATCAATACATAATTATTGTTCCAACTCACTAAATCAATAAAATATTAAACAGAAAAAGTTGAGTTGCAGTTTCTTCAGCAAATCCACCGACTTCTGATTCATTTATAATTTTTTATTATAATGGAACATTTTTATTATTTTACTAACGGTTCAAGCAGACATGCAGTTTTTAGTTTTGCAACTGTTTGATTATTTATTTGTATTCCATAGGTTTATATTCAAGGATGCACAAATTCAGTTATATGTGATCGGATGCAATTAAGCAATCAACTAGATTGTAATGTGTTACAAACTGGTTGTAATTTTTAGTTTTCGTTTGAAAGGCAGAATCATAGAAGTTCAGAAAGAAATAAATTTTTAAAATAATGTTTATAAAGAAATGTTGCAAACCAATTTTGTTCATAAACATTTCTGTCTTATCAATAATATACTTAAATCATATTATATGAAATTTTCATCTGCACTACAATAATTTGCAATCTAAATTCCTCAATGTTCAGAAGGAACTCTTAAATAATTTGATGGTCTTTTATAAAAAAAACTTCTTTCGATAATATTAACAAATTTTAATGGAAAATTCTAAATTTTCTGTATCAAGAATATTGTATAATTCCAGTTAACAAATTTAAAATTTACATTTTATAGTACATACATATGTACCTACCTACATACATATAATTACGATGAAAATCATAAAAATTTCAATTTTAATACTCTCTGTATTTTTTTTTTTGTTTATAAATTTGGTTTCTAACTTAATAAACAGCTTTAAGTGAAAATTAAATTTTTAATTTTTTAATTTAATTGCTCCCTCTTTTTTTATTTTAGAAAATTATAATTATGCACACAATCTACGCACATCCATAGCCAGTATAAATAGAAATTTAATTAGTTTTTAATATTATTTTCTATGAAAATTATATTTATAGAATTGTTTTTTCAATTAATAAATAATTAAATTAAATAATTAGCTAGCTAGGCATGTGTTGGCAAAATATTTTTAAAGCAAAGCAAAAATAGAATAGGAGAAATTATTTTTATTTTCAAAATTCCACTGTATATTGAGTTAATTTATATTAAATAAATTCGAATTAGACCAAGTGTTCACTTAAGCAGTTGCAGCTGTTAAAATGTAATTTCCTGTTTTTTATTTTATTGATAAAAATTAACTTTTTATTAAAATTAATACTAGATTACAAGGAAAAATTTAATTGCATACTTCAAGGGGAACAATAAATAATTATTAATTATTTCATTGTCATTTATGCGTTATTAATTCATAATTGATTCCTATATATAGCAAATTTCATTCTTTATTATTTTTGTGAATAAAATTCAGTAAACGATCAAATTTTAACAATATTGATTGCACTAATATAGTTAATGTATGCCTTCAAAGACGTAAATTTAGTTCTTTACAAGCAGGCTGAACTGCCTGAAATTCGAATTTTTTTTACATTTTTGATTTTATTTTGAATTTGAATATGAATTTATTAAATTTGAAAGTAAGTCCGTTAATTATTATTAAAAATGTAAAATTGTCTCCCATAGTTTATAAGCATCCTGGTTACTATAACCTACAATCACTGTTGAAACAATTTATTCCCAATTAATTAATAATTTTTTATTCGCAATGATAAAATTATTCGCAATGATTATCTTATAGTTTTTTTTTTCGAGAAGAATAAGATTCCTATTAAAATCTACACATAGGAATCCCAATATATTTTTTATTCAACATATTCAAATAAATCAGACAAGAGTCAGAAATCCAAAACGTATGCCACACTGTATGTAGTAAGTATATTTGCTATATTTGTATATCAACCACCATATAGCACTATTGAATTTCGAATTAATTAATTATAATTAATTTGTAATATAAACATTTCATGTTCATTTCCTTTTATTTTACCCATAAAATTTCAAATATTTTCCATGAAACTCATATGAAATCCAGATCATCATCTTTAAATCAATAACATACAAAATTAATGAAATTGCTGAAAATAATCATGAAAAAATTCTTATTAATTTCATTGGATATTTTTTTTTTTGTCCAATTTGAATAAATATTAAATATTTGTTATTTTTTTCAATATTTATCCAAATCAATATGGAAAAAAGTCAAATATCGGCTTTATGTTTTTTTTTGTATTCAAAAGATAATAATAACAACAACAACAATAACAGTCAATGCCTCTTTGTTTTTATACCATGATTTATTTTATTTATTTATATTATTGTATATTTGGGAAGGAAAAAAATAGTGGTTCAATGAACGATTTCATATTCTGAATACGAACAAGTATTAAAGCAAAAAAAAAAACAAAATCTCTCAAAGGATTTGTATATTGGTCCTTCAAAAAAAAAAAAAAAATCTTTAAAAAAAAAATTTTAGCAAAAATATTCTCTATAAAATTTTATTTACCATTTCATACCAAAGTTTTATAAACGACTTCTGTTTCATAC